CTCAAGCTAAGTAGTATTATATTCCTTATATCATCTAAATACAATCCCCTATTAAATCTCTTAATTTCAAGCATGCCTTTAATAAATAGCATTGCTATATGATATATTTTATTTTTCAGTATTAACCCCCATTACTGTATCCACCAATATTCTCATGTACACCTGTCACTCCAGCAGAGGATGCTAGTCTCCCTGTCACCTTGCACTGCTTCATTTGGACATTTATTTCATCCGAATTCTGCCAATAAATAATACATACGAGCCAATTAAATAACAAAATAGAGTCCACCAAATTATGCACTATTTCTGTTTTATTTTAGGTCCATTTATTTGCTTTTAATCGCCAAAAATGTCCCAGCTCCCAAACCACAACATCCCTGTATCCCTGACGAGGCTAATCACTGCCCTGCCAACCCTTCTCTCACATTTAGCATCGTTTTAGCAGATAATGTCCCAGATTTTAGCAGCTCTTACCGGATTTATGCGCTTTAGTCCATGGCTCGGAGCTGTCCCGGGGCCGTGGAGGTGCCTGGAACCGGGGATGGGCGTCTGGGAGGTGGCTGCGTGTGTTTTTTGGGCGGAGGAAGGGCGACACTGCAGTGGAGCTCCGGAGGATGCTAATGCTAAGTTAACGCCAGGCTAAGCGTCCAATCAGCGCGAGGACAGGGATGATGCTGCGGATTGAGAGATTTACCGTAAAAAGACTCTAAAAAGAGAGAAACAAAGGATGAATCAGGGTTAAATAAGTCTGATAAACGATAATAAAGGTCTTGTTCTAAAGAATGAGTGAGTTAAATCCAGACAGAAGCTAGGTTTTGGGTTTAAAATGGGTGAGTACCTTTTGGGATGGGGAGAGGATGATGCGGCAGCTTTGGGGAACACGGGGGGAATACAGGAAAAGTGGGTCGGACTGAGGACTTAGAATCACCTGGTTAATTAGCACACAAAAAATAATTATATTTACTGAAATTGTATTTTTTTTATTGAATACTTTCATGAATATTTAGTTAGTTCACTTGTTTATTATTATAAAAAAAAAAAAAAAAAAAAAGTAATCCTAATTTTAAATGGGGCTTTTGACAACAACATTGTAGGCTTGTTACTAAAGTGAAATCCAATATTGGTTGGGGCTACATAAATATGCCTATAGTTTGCAGATGAAAATAAAGTGGATTGTGGACACAGTAGCATACTTTATAACATTAGCAACCACAATTTGTCTCGTTTTAAGACCCACTTTTATTCTCTGGCTTTTGATACCACGCGAGTTGTGTGCTCCTCTGGGTTTTTTATTTATTTATTTATTCATTTCATTCATTCATTCATTCATTCATTCATTCATTCATTTATTATTTATTGGTATTCTTGCTTTTACTTGATTTTACTAGTTTTATTGTCTTAACGAGGACTGGTGGAGTTATAATAGCGCTTTATTTTTATATTTCTATTAGATATGTTTTAGATATGTTTTATTTGTATTGTGCTGTTCTGCTTATGAAATGTGCAATAAAAAATATAAAGTGGACTGGATTGGATAACTCACCTAAAAGTGTTTTTACGTTTATGTAGCCTGCTACTGGCTCTAATATTCTCTGCATCCGCTGTAGTTTTAGTGTTTAGTTAAATAAGCAACATCAGGGAATGCTGCCATAAAAATATGAGTAGTAGGCCTGCAATGGAAGAAATCATTGGTCAGTGGACAGACAATAATGAGCCCCCCTTGACTTAAACCCAGACCAGAACTAAACTCAGACTGGGGTGAGATGCTTTTGAGATGTAAATAAAGCCATGTTGTTGTTGACTGGAGCTTGTTGCCATGGAGACAGAGAGCTGTTCTGTGATTGGTTGACAGGGTGTGGTTCAGAGCCCCATGAGACTTGAGCAGGAATGTATTAAATAAAGATGACTGAGAAATGGTTGAACCACGACTTAGAGCTGAGTAATACAGCAAAAATAACTATAATTAAAAAAAATAACTAAATATAAAAAATAATGAAGTGATTCTACTTTTCGGACTAGTCACATGTAGACCTTAATACTTATACAACCCTCTCACTTCAATTTTCATTAATGTATTACATAGAACATAAGCCCATGTTTATAAAGTCCTAGTGCCAATGAACTATATATTATGGATTTCTTCAGCATTAATTAAAAAATAGTCTATTCCAGAATAAACGGCATGAGGAACTGAATAATGTGTATAATCTTTGGTTTGTGGATTAAGTGTCCTCCACACATCTACTAGTCCCACCTCCTGTATTATTGTTTTCATGAGCTTGGTCATGTGATGTTTACATTTTTGTAGCACTAGTTGTATCCAGTGTTGGGGAGTAACAGATTATATGTACCGGCATTACCTAATCAGAGTACAAATTATGAGTAACTGTATTCAGTTACAGTTACTGTTTCAGTGAGTGGTAATTGGATTACAGTTACTTTGATAAAATAAATGGATTACATGGTGGTATGTTCCCGTTTTCACATTTTGGGCTAAACCAGGACTAAACTCGGACTAAACCACGACTAAACTCGGACTAAACCAGGACTAAACCAGGTCTAAAAGCAGGACTAAACCAGAACTAAACCAGGACTTAACCAGGTCTAAAACCAGGACTAAACCAGGAGTAAATAAGGACTAAACTAGGACTAAACCAGGACTAAACCAGGTCTAAAACCAGGTCTAAATCCAGGACTAAACCAGGACTAAACTAGGACAAAACCAGGCCTAAAACTAGGACTAAACCAGGTCTAAAACCAGGACAAAACCAGGACTAAACCAGGTCTAAAACCAGGACTAAACCAGGACTAAACTAGGACTAAACCAGGACTAAACCAGGTCTAAAACCAGGACTAAACTAGGACTAAACCAGGACTAAACCAGGTCTAAATCCAGTACTAAACCAGGACTAAACTAGGACAAATCCAGGTCTAAAACCAGGACTAAACCAGGACTAAACCAGGTGTAAACAATATGACACTAACAGTAGGTGGACGCAATTGAAGGCAGCAGTGATCTCATATATAAATCATTTCTCTATCAATAATATTTTTAATTTGGTTAAATAAAGTCTGGGCTTTTTATTGTCTTTTAGCAGATAAAACATTTTATATGTTAAAATATCCTAGTCTCTACAGCAAACAAAAGCATGTTCATGGAGACTTTGGGCTCAACAGACAATCTGAAGAGAACAAACAAGAATTTGCAGGATGTGGTCACTACATTCATGTCACTTTAAAAAGCATGACACTATCAAGTAATCCAATGTATTCATTCTCTGGAGTTTTGGATGCAAGGAAACACATTATAATGGTGTGTCCCAAACTTTAACTACTGACTGACAATTTAACCATGGGTTTGCACCTTGGTTAAAAAATAAATAAATAAATAAAAATGTAAAAAACATTATAAACTGCCTTGAGTGTTTCTCTTTTTGTTGTTCTTTTTTATAACTTTGTTTTATTGGTTTTAAGTAACAGTCTGGAGTTACAGGTTTTTATTTAAACATGCATTTGGTATTGACCTTTTAATGTACTATGTTGTTTTACTGGTGTCATTTAAGAATTCATTCCATTTTTCCCATTGCTCATCGTATTTGTACAAAACAAAATACAAAAAAAGTATTCAGAAGGCTGTAAAATAAATTCTGTACATCAAAGCTACTATACAGACAATTAACTGGTTAATGCTAGCTGAAAAGTCATCTCAAAATATGTCTATAAATTGCCACAAACTTTAACAAAGTGCTCCAAATATACTGGTTATCATTCATTTTTAACATAAACTTATTCATTTTGCTGCTCAAAGGGCTGGAAATGAGGAGATGCTTCAGATAGAACAATAAAACTCATGTGGATTGACATTATCAAGGTAGTTGTTTTCCTTCTGGTCACCTACTGGCTACATTTATGATCAAAATCACAACGAGCGCCCTCTAGCAGGCTGGAAGAACACAATACAAAACACTTCCAATACAATGATCATGATGATGTATAGAAAATGTCTCATAAAAAAGTCATGTAATCATATTGTGTCTAAATGTGTTTGTTGACATCCAACATACACATTTTATGTGAGCTACTTTTAAACTCTTTGAGTTATCTGACCAACTGCATGTGATGTTTATAGTTTGGTTTTACCCACATTGTTGATGTATTTCAACAGGATAATAAAAATAAATTAATTAATTTTTTGGAGGAACATGGAGTATTACATGTGAATATTACAATGAAATTGCAAGAAAACAACCAAACCGGGTTATTTTTGACTCACTTATTCATCTAAGGGTTAATGTGCAGGTTCAACATTACATAGGTATTACATAGGTAATCAACATTTCAACTTACTCAGAGGCTGAGATATTTCAGAAAAAGATTTTTAGCAGCCATTTTTTAAAAATTCAATATGACCGCCATATAGACATCTAGGCAAATGCAAACATTGATTTTCTAACTCCATATACTATAACCTTTCCAAAAATATATAGCTTAGCAAATCCCCTAAAAATTCCCACTAAGGTTAAAAAATTAATGTATGGAACCAGACAAATATTGGCATATTGGCTTCTAAGTTTCATTTTCATCATTATATTTAGAAAAAATAATGGTATCCATCCCTCTTAGACAAATTATGATTATTACCTTTTCTATGTGAGTGATGGGTAATAGCCTCACTGTGTGTATCCGTCTGCATCAGAGCAGCATCTGGTGGTCAGCCTGAGTGATTACAGTCACAAAGATTTCAGCTGAAGTTTATGAAGAACTTAAAATAAAGGAACGGAACGTATTGTGATTCATTACCCCATAGCCGAATAGCTACTATTTAACTGTTAAAATTCATTTCATTTTAAATAGGGGAACCAGACTGGTCATTTTATTCCAGATTCATGTCCAATTTTAAGCTCCAATGAACTAAAAAAAAACTATTTAAACAACAATAGCTTATGTCTCTATGGTAGAAAACAAAATAAGTAATTCAAACAGAGACTCTCCAGAACCAGTTTAGGAAAAAGAACCTTTATTTGAAACGTTATGGAGAGCGTGTGGTGTTTACAGTCCAGAGTTACAGCGTCGATGGCACATGAGACATGAGCGAAGTTGGAGCAGCATTGAACCCACAACCCTTTTCTGAGACACCTCTAAATGTCCAGAAAAACTAAAAATTATAGGCCTAACTCAATTTCAGATTTGTACAAGTTTCAGTTCACTCACACAAACATGGCAGAATTGCACTTTTCAAACCCCAAATTAAAAACAAAAATTCAAGGATTTTATGAGACCCAAGTCTAGTTTTGATGTAGTCCTGGTTTAGTACCAATCAATCTGGACCTGGACTAGATCAAGACTGAACTGGTACAAAATCAACATTAAGAAAATATAAGTTTGATTTTGTGATATGGAGATTGAAAAGTGCCCAGACTGCACAGTCACTGAAATGCATTTGGGTAATTTTCTGTAAAAACTGCAACTAAATTTTAAAAACTCTCACATTTTAGTTACATATTTTGTATTAGACAGAAAATATCCAAACTGCTTTTCATCAAAAACACTTAAATTAAAAAAGTTAAGTTAGACACTAAGTTACCAAAAATATTTTAAAATCCTTTCAAGACGATTGGCAATTTGACAAATCAAAGAATAGATTTTGATAAAACACAAAAATTTCATGTACATTTTTGAGGAAGAATCTACATTAGAAGGTTACAGAGCAAAGTAAAATATAGAAAATGTAAGTGTTTTTGATGAAAATTACATAAAGGCCCTGTACCAGATTTTTTTTTTCAATGTATTTGCCCAAAATGTGCCTTGTCCCACTACAGATATATTGTATAAGCAGCTCTTGAGGTCAAAATAAGTCCTCTGTGCACTGTCTGCATCTAACTATAAAAGATTTTATTGTTCGATAATCAGGAAGTGCAAGGATTAGTTAGCATGCTAGTTGTTTTTTTTAGCATTACAGTGATGGCAAAACTCTGCACTGGTCTCTAAGAGTTGTGAAAAGCTCTTATACATCATGGAGAATACTTAGGTTGCTTGGAATGCATAAGGTAAGAGGAATAACTTTGGACCACTGCAAACTGTTTAAAATGCACTATTTCCGTTTTCCAGGTTTTTAAGACGGTAAAAATCAGGTACAGTGCCTTTAATATTCTTTGCTCATTCATTCACTCACAAACATTGTCCCAAAGCGTATTGTTGAGTACCCCACTACAAGTTAAGATTTATATAGCTTTACTCATATATATATCTGTCTATAGGAAAAACAAACTATTTTAACCAAAAATATGATGATTTCTGACAGAAATAAAAGGTGAGGTTTGAGCCCGTTTCTCACCGGGCTCCTGATAAAATCCTTTACAAGTTCATATTATTTTTGTTTTTTTCTTGTTAAAAGTTGCACTAAAACAGACATGCAGAAAAACAGGGAGGAAGAACGCAGCGCCTCCTAGTGGTTCACGCAGGGATCACACAGTTCGACTTCAGAGTTTTCAGTTGCTCACAGCGAGTTTGGGTCATTTATTTATTTATTTGGGTTATTTATTTATTTATTTATTATTAATCCTAGTCTACATTTCATTTTAAATTTGAAATAAGACATCTAATTTAAATCAGTTTCAAGGACCCTAAATTTAAGGACTAGATGGGCAATTCCAGGGCTGAAATCATACAAATGATCCTAGGGAAGGTAAATGGAGTTTAAAAACACAGTGAAGCACTTCCTGTATTATCACATCGCATTAAGGTGGAGTGTTTTCTGTTTGAGAGAAGAACTTATCCTAAATATGAAGGATTTGGAACTCAAAATGTTTCTGATGAGGAAACAAAATTATAACAGACCAGAGCCCTTTAAAATTGATTTTTAAAGTTAGCATTTCATTACTGGCTCTATTTAAACTCATTCTTTATTCCAAATAATGTAGTGTTTTTATGGCACGTATTAAATTTGTTTCTCAAAATTCCACGTTTCTTAAATTCTTAAACCTTTTCCTTTGCACAAACTCGCTGTGAACAACTGAACTCCTCATTTTTATCATCTGAGGTTTTTTAGTTGGCGATTATATTTTTGCATCAATTTCTTGGCTACAATTAGTTTAATCTTTTAAAATTTTCACCACTTTCAAAGCTTCTCAAATCTTAAACATGGAACTTACAGACGAATAACCACTCATCTCCATCACACGGCGACAAAAATACAAAAACATTAAAAATAAACAAAAAATAAAACTGAAATCATCGCGAAGGACCTTGGACACCGAGCGTGCATGTGCTGTCCAGGAGCGGGCGCAGTTCACAGCGGTGGAGGTACATCAGTCTCTATTCCACCTTCAAAAAAACACCTCCAAAAATTAAAAATAATCCACTTTTTTCATTTTAAGTTTGTAATAAATCCTTGTCTATATGCTTAAAGTCACAGTGGAGGAACAAAACATGGCTATGACCCAGTTTAATTTTGATTTTTTGGGTCAGAATTTGCAGAAGTTGAAGCAAAAAAGCAGGGAAGACTCAAATCCAAGAATCAACCCGGAATTTTAAAATATCCGTTGAACAATTTGAAGTTTTTAATCCCTTTCGATCCCATTTCTTGCAGGGAGAACACAGTACAGTTGTGTGCTTTTCAAAACAGTCTCGGTTAAGTCCACAAAACCCTGCTCAGAATGATTTAACTTTAGTGTCAACGTTATGTGCCAAAGATTTACCATTCGGAAAAGTTCAAGTTCCAAATTTCCAAAAAGTCATTCTGATTTCGACGACAAAGTTCTCAAATCCAGGATCATTTGGCAAAGATGGTGATCGGGATGTCACCAGACCAGAGAAATGTCTTAAATTGAGTAAATTTCAGGATCTGTCCAGTCCAAAGTTGTTGACAAAGTTGCAGTGAGGAGTGAAGGAGCTGTTTTGTTAGACATTTCAAAGAATATCTCATTTTCTGTTGATATTTATTGTGCATTCATGACGGAGGGGAGTGTTGCTTCTTGTTTAGTACTGGTTTAGTTCTGGTTTAGTCCTTTAGATCCTGGGATAGTCTTAGCTTAGTCCTGGTTTACTAGTGGTTAGTTAGGCTATCTTAAAATAATAGTATTCTAGTATTAATGCATTTTAGTTAGTTAGTGGTGTGTGCTTGTTCAGTCCCGGTTCAGTCCTGGTTCATTTCTGCACAAGTTTTAGTTTAGACCTTTTTCTTGGCCCAGTCCAGTTTTAGTCCCGGTTTAGTCCTGGTGTGTATTGAACGCTGGATTTGCTGAGTCTACAGTAGAGGCTTCATCCGGTTTAGTCCCTTATTTAGTCCAGGTCTAGTCCTTTCTTTAATCCTAGAAGATTAAAGCTGGGCTACCTTAAACCTGTAGTACTTTTATTAATGCATTTGGTGGTTGGTGGTGTGCCCTGGTTTAGGACTGGTCTAGTCCCGGTTAAGTCTTGGCCCTATGATATTACATGAGTGGTTTAGTTGGTATAGAATGTTGGATTTTTGCTGAGGCTGCAGAGATTAAGGTTTAGTCCTGGTTCAGTCCTGGTTCAGTCCTCTTTTAGACCGGTTATAGTCCTGGTTTATCTGTATACAAGCGGCTCAGTTGGTATAGAATGCTGTATCAGTTGTCCTGGTTCAGTCTTGGTTTAGTTCTGGCTCAGTCCTGGTCCATTCCTGGTTCAGTCCTCTTGTAGACCTACTTCAGTCCTGGTTCAGTCCTGTTTTACCCCTTATATGAGTGGCTCAGTTGGTATAGAATGCTGTATTTGCTGAGGCTGTAGAGGAGGGGGCAGCTGCAGCGGGAGCAGAGCCTCGACCATATTGTGACAGTGGTGAGGCGGAGTCCCTTCGCTGCTCGAGCTCTCGGCCACTTCTCCTCCGTGAAAGAAATAATCACTCTGCAGGATGAAGCACTCCACCACGGACTGGTTCAGCTTCGTGGTGGAGAGGGTGTCCATGTTCTCAAAGTCCGGGCGCATCAGAGTGGGCCAGAAGCAGATGGAGAGGTTATCCGCAGTCATCAGGGTGGTTTTACTGTGCTGGCTCACCCTAAAGACAGAGAAGAAAAGAGTCAGATGTCCTCCTGTCGTGGATATAATTTGGAATGAAGAGCATTAACACAGGAGTATATAAATCCCTGTGCCAGATGCCCTCCCATCTGTATATATACCTGGTTTAGTTCTGGTTCATTCCTGGTCTAGTCCCTGTTTTTTGGCCCTGGTTTAGTCTGTGATTTAGTTGTGGTTTAGTCGTGGTTTCATCATGGTTTCTTTGTGGTCTCTTCATAGTTTAGTCATAGTTTAGTCCTTGGTTTAGTGCTCTTTTAATCCTGGTTTAGTCCTGGTTTTTCATGGTTTAGTTCTGATTCATCCCTGGTCTAGTCCCTGTTGGACCTAGTTTAGTCTTGGTTTAGTCCTGATTCAGTCCTGGTTCAGTCCCTGGTTTAGTCCTTGTTTGTTACCTGTTGAGGTGGGTGATGATGTATTTAAACACATTGTAATTCACTGGAGGAAACTTCTTCACGATTTCCCTTAAAACCAGAAGTCTCTCCATGTAGTCTACAATTTCTGCAAAAAAGACAAAAATATATGAATTAAGTTAATCAAACAAAAGAGACTGAATTTAAATCAAAAAGTGTAAAAACAAACAAACAAACCCCAAAAAAGTGGAATACAATAAATATGTTGACATCAGACCAGAATCATAGGCAGAAGCAGTGCCTCCTCACAAACAGCAGAGGGCGCACTAGGATTTATAATGAAAACTGTCCCATTCAAATACATAAGATTCTTAAATAGCATTAAGATTCTTAAATAGCATTAAAATAAAATTAAACCAGATGGATTTTTTAAGCATGTGGCATTAATGTGCTGAACAAAAGAACTGATCCTGCGGGGGATTCATTAAAAATATATCCATAAAAATGACCAAAGTTTTGAGATTCTAGGACTCTTTAATCATTTAAATCAGTGGCTCTCAAACTTCTCCCACCAAGTACAAAAAAAATAGATAAGTGTCTAAAGTAAATAAATACTTAAACTACAAAGGGCTCCACATACAACTGGAGGTAGTCTGCATTCCATCTGTACATGTACCACAGTATGAGAAACTTTCATTTGAATAGTCAAATAAAATATTGAACTAGTCAGTAAATATTTGTATCTTTTTTTTAAATAATTGAGCAGTTAAAGATTGTAAATATTTTCCAATTACAATTAAGTTTGAAAATATGCCTTCTCATATCAATTTTATATCAAATGTATTATTTAATTAACTTTAAACTTCTTTAACTCTAAATACTTTCATTTCATTAGGTAATGTATAATCACAATCAAACAAACACTGGTCTGATAGAGGAAATCAAAGTTTTATATCTATTTAGACATTCAAATTATATTTCAGTTATGCTCCACCTGCAGCACTGTTTAATAGAACTTCACTTCCTGCAGTATCCCTCTCTCCTCCGTCTCCCCTGTGGATCTTAACCAGTTCTTGTAATATTTTTAGCCCAAACCTCTCCCTCTCTGGAGCTTCACCTGCTCTGCTCATCCATCACACTAATAAGGCCCTGCTTCACTTCCTGTGTCACAGGTCAGGGGTCAGAAGGTTAAAGTCGGAGCTGTTAAATTCAAATAACTCAACTCTAAACATTGACTCCATTACCCACAAAGAAACTGGCTTAGGAGAAGATAATAAACAGCATAATTTAACATAATAGAACTGGCAATGTGGTAATGAAGATTCAATGTATGTGTCATTTCTTTTGGTAAATGTTAGTATCTGGTAATATTTCAGACAGTTAGAGCTGATGAAAGTCAATCTGAAAACATAGGTGTGATATTAGAACACTGTCATATGCAGGGACCTCTCTGGGGACTGCCCTGAAACTGAGATGAAAAAACTCAGGTAAAAAATAAAAAAGATGAATTAAATTAAATGACCAATGATTACCACTGTCTGACTGAAACTAATTATTTAAATGGTGAAAGTAAAAATGGTCAGATCAGTATTTGGTTAGACATAATGGCTGTCATATATAGATAGATATAGATTAATATAGAGGTTATTGAAGTAAATTTGTATTTGTGACGTACTTGCGGCCTCCACCAGCTCAGGGTGCAGACTGTAGGGGATCAGGGGGTCGGGCAGATCTGCAAAGAACGCCTTCAGTGCTCCGGCCGCCGCGTTTATAGCCACGTCAAGAGCCACGAAGTCTATGCTGTGATCTGGAAGAGAAGAGAGAAAGTTACAACAAATACTACTGCAAAATACTACTATAAATATTACTACAAAATACTATTGCATTCAGTCTATGCTGTGATCGAACGCGAGAGGAGAGAAAGTTATTACCCTTACCAGACTACTCTAATCAGCGCCATGTCCACAACCACAAATTTATGGTCAATGTTAAGCGTTGAGGTTAGTTAGTATTGCACCAATTATAAAAATATTTTAATTGTGTTTGGTCTGGTAAATACTGTTGTGTCCTTAGGCAAGACACTGCATCCACTTACTGGACCTGGTTTAGTCCAAAATTTAAGCCCAGGTTTAGTCCCGATTTTGTCCAGAGCTTAGTCCAGAGCTTAGTCCCTGGTTCAATTTCCGGTTTAGTCCCTGAGTTAGTCTCCAGTTTAGTCTCCAGTTTAGTCTCCGGTTCCCTCCCTGGTTTAGTCTCGGGTCTAGTCCCTGGTCTAGTCCCCGGTCCAGTCCTGGTTTTGCTCTGTTATGATTCAAACACTGCAGTAATATTCCTAACTGGAGTATTTGGCAGGAGTCCAGCTTTGACATGTGTTTCTCTTTACTCATTTCTGCCTCGTCGTTTTGAATCATTTTTTTTCGTCTCTGGGGCGAATTTACGGCACAAACTCAGGTCCTAACTCAGCCCTGTTCCAGAGAAAGACCCGCTCCCCAAAAGTTCACGTGAATGTTTTTAAAATGTCCCAAATCTGGAAGCAATCAACAAAATGGCCGCTTGTTTTTGCAGGCATCTGTTCAACAGGTTTTGCAGCAAGATCAAATTTCAGGGAGTAAAGTTTTTTGCAAAAATTCCCCCAAATTTGTGTCTCTCAGTAAAGGAGGTTGTGGGTTGGAGTCCTGATCTCCCCCTGTAGGAAGGACAAACCATTACCTTGATCGAACAGTTTCTGGATATTGTCTTGGTCCGTTTTGTTCCCGCTGACTCTGTACAAGCCTTCTGTGGTCAAACCTGCAAAAACAAAACAAAAAATCTGATCAAAAAGTGAAATTTTACAAAGCATTTCTGCAAACTCAGCCGAACTGACAGTAACTAAACGCTCAAATGATCAGAATCCCACCCAGTTTCACAAAAAGATGAGTTGAATGAAAACAGATGGACAAAACAAAGCAACAATCTGTAAAGGATTAGAAGGATTTCAAAACACAATCACTCGCCTCCATCTCAGCTTTTGGGAATTATCAACTCTCCAAAAGTTCATTCAGAAAAATATCAAATACAGCACGGAAAATGGGTCAGTTAAAATGGTCGCCAACTGGTACTGGCTTCAAACACTGCAACATAAAATAAAATACAGTCCAGTTACTAACTTCGAATGCCAGTTTCTAGTTTGTTTTTCATAATCCACTTTATTTCTATAGCGCATTGCATGAACATGACAGTTTCCAAAGTGCTGCACAGACGATTAAGCCAATAAAAGAGTAAGGCTGTGTCCGAATGTCTCCCCAAGCCCCTAACCCCTCATTCACTCCATAAGCCTGCAGGATTTATTGGACTCTGTAGTGCTTCATTCACGCAGAGATTCAGACACACAGCTCACTACATTCGGGTCACGTGACTCAAGCTTGTGGGTGGGAAAAAAAAGGCTAAACTCTGAAAAAACTTGATTTCTGTTGTAAATAATGATCAGATTGGACTGACACATAAATATTTAGGACAAGTTTTTCTCAAGATGGATCTCACATAAACAGACTGGATTATTTGCTTTATAACTGAGATGTTGAAATTATCACTCTTAACAGCTCGAGCTAAAGCAGCATGTGAGGACTACTGTATTTTCTGCAATATTAGGCGCTCTAAATTAGAAGGCGCACTGTCATTAAATGGTCTATTTTCAAACTTTTTTCACAAATAAACCGCACCGGACTTTAAATGAAACCCAACAGTGTGATGGGTGAGTGGTTTTGTTTGTTTGTGGCGTTCACGGTGACTCTGGGCTTTGTTCAGTTGTGGCGTGTAGGGAGGGTGCTGTCTGGGACCAACGGATACAAGCACCAAGAATCTCGGACTTCCGGCCATTGCGCAATTCATACTGGGAAGGATTTTCTGAAAAAGTGAGCATCAAACCACCATGTTTGTTTTCCCAGTGGGATGTGTCTGTTGTCAAAGTCGATCTTTTCTAGTCTTTTGAACCATATCACTTTTTTTTCTGGTTCTGATATTGTCATATTTTAGTTTTGGGATTTGGACATCGTTAATTGTGTGGTTGTTGGATGTCTTAACAGCGGAAAATGGCTCAAGAAATTCGTTTGCGATCTCCATAGATGCAAAAGGAGTTGCACACATCAAAAAAAGATGTGTGTGACTGCAAACCTCTGTTCAAACTGTTTCCCTTCCCAGTGGAATTGAAAAATAGTGAAAGGTGAAGGCGATGGGCAGGATTGATCCACGGGAAGGACGAAAAAGGTCATCTTTGACCGCCTAAATCATCCCGAGTTTGCAGCGAATATTTTGTAACCTTGGTTACGAATTTAAAAAGTCAACGCCAAAAAAAACGAAAGGCACCAGCTGTTCACCAAGAAACACCTTCCACTGCAAAGAGACCAAGACTTAATGTTGCTGTAAAACTACAAGAACAAGAAAGTGCGAACTCTTCTTCTTCTTCTTCGTCTTCTGAACCTCTCGCTTAAACGGGATCCCACTTTGATGGCGCTCCACATACAAAATGTTCGCTGCAAACTCGGGATGACAGGAAGTCCGAGATTCTTGATGCGTGTATTGTTGCCGTGTTCGCAGTGACTCAGTTGTTCAGTTGTGTCTAGAAGTGGCACACTGCGCTCGCTTTTTCAGTTCGTTCCTCCGTTCCGTTCCTCGTCGGCGTGGAGTGATGAGTGTGTCTGTGGGTGTTTTTCGTTGTGTGGTCGCTGTCTGCTCCGTGTGTGTTTGTGTGTTCTGTGGGTGGTGTGGCTTTGTAGTTTACTGAAGTCGTACTGGGACACCTGAGTGGATTCGTGTACAGGGCGCTCTGGATTGTGGGGCGCGCGGTCGTTTTTTAATGAGGTTAGAGGCTTAAGAGTGCACCCTATACCCCGGAAAATAGGGTAGGCATGGGATGATATTGAAATTTAGTGTCATGATTATCATGCCCAAAAGAATTACGATTAACAAATATATCACAATAATTATTTAAGTTGCTGACAGTTTAAAAATGGATATGAATAATTATATTTTTAATGTTATGAATAAGTTCCATGTTTAAACAACTTTTATATGATCAAACTTTGTTGTAAGTGAAAACAACCACAGTCTAGTGAAGATCATGATGCATAAGTAGCTTTTTGGTGATAAAATGGCTTTGTTGGCAATTCTCATGATTATTTAAAATGTCCCACAAGCGATTATTGTCTTCCCTTTTTATCACAATGGCTAGCACCAGTTACACCAGTTTATTTATGAGTGTTTAATTCACAATCAGGATCAACAGTGCCATACACCAGAGCGTTGCAATAAAATCTTAAAATAAATTCTAAAATGAACAAGAAGCCAGTGCAAAGACGCAAGAATTGGTGTGATATGTTCTCATTTTTTGGTTCCTTTTAAAGTAAGTGCAGAGTCATAAAATCAAATAGAGGTGGATCAATAGGAGAAAACCCAACCCTGTAATAAAAATACACTACATTTATTACCACTATTGAACAGAACTCGATAGTGGACTCCCTAATCAATGACACCAACAAAGTACGTTCACTGAGTAACTTTAAACACTGAGGCTGAGAAACATTTTGGGCAAAGCAATTGTCCTAAACCTGCTTTAGTGTCCTGGTTTTGTCCCAGTTCAGTCCTGGGTCTAGTCCCGGTTCAGTCCTAGTTGTGCAGATGTAACCCATATTATCACATTTGTCCCTTTTTAAACTGCTTAAATATTTCAGAGGATTGTGTCTCTGATTTCGTGTCTAAAGAGAGGAGGATATTTGATCGTTGTTATCAGATCCAAGCTACTTCCTGTTCCCTCGGGCCCTACTTCCTGTGTGCGCATGTCCCTATCAGCGATACAAAACACACGACAGCCACACATTACAGAAGAGATAACAGAGGCGTCCTCCACAATCATACGAACTGGACGGGTGATTAGTAAATTCAAAAATTCAAATGGAAAAATGTGTTTTCAATGGAATATATAAACCAAATTATATAGACAAACAATGAGAAGGAGAGAAGGACTATTTAAAACCTCAGTTATTGTTAATAAACTATCATTTCGGGGTGGTTTTTTGTTTGTTTGTGTGTGTTTTTTTATTTTACACAGGATACTAGGCTACTGAAAGAAGTAATCTATTTTTTTGCAAGGAGACTTGATTCATGGGATGTTTTAAATTGCGAAAATCACAATTAAATAATATTTACATCAAAGTGTTTGATTCATGCTTTAAATAAAATGCTAACTGTTAATGTTTACCGGTTCAGTCTTGGTTTAGTTTTGGTTTAGCCTTGGTTTAATCTTGGTTTAGTCGCTGCTTCATTCCCTGCTTCAGTCCCTACTTCAGTCCAGTCAGTGTCAAAGCGTCATTCTAAAGTAAAGACAAACTCATGTAAAAGTGATGAAATAAATTTCACGGTTTTTGAAACTTTGAGCCTCGAGCGACAAACCAATAAAATCTGCCCAAAAACTCTTCTGTTCCTCTGATACAAAGAGCTCTCTGTCTGAACCAGGACTAAACCAGGATGAACCAGAACTAAACCAGGATGAACCAGAATTAAGCCAGGACGAACCAGGACTGAATTAGGACTGAACAAGGACTTTTAAAGAGGATCATTTTACTTAGATGACATTTACAACCTCTTCAGGCTTGTTTTTGTGTCTTCAGTTTTAGAGAAAAAATTTATATATATTTTTTTCTGTTAAACATGTGTGAATGAAACAAAACACAACTTCAGGTCTGTTTATGATGAAGAAACTACATTATAACAGAGCAGAAAATGGTGTAATATGGGCCCTTTAAGGATAATATACTTTTTTGCTTCTAAATGTGTATATGGTGTTTTAATAGTTTTGTCTACTGTAATTTTGCATCTTTGTGGTCAAAAACTGTTAACAAAAATGACAAATTATCTATGTTTTGGGGTTTTTTTTTGTAACTTTATTTGTATGTATTTATTTTTATCCCTCACTGCCACATTACCAAGAGTGACAGTCTGCCCTGTTCCGCTGAGCTGCAGACAGAGTAATGGCAAACACACCTTTCTCATTCACATAAACAGTTTCAGAGGTAAACAACAGCGATCTGGAGTCTAACCCACAACCTCCTCACTGAAGGGAGGAGACGGGCTAACCACTCTACCACTGTGGTTAATCATGAGGTTAATTTAACGCGTGGTCTGTGTGCTGCAGGTCAATAGTAAAATCAATACATGTTTTGGAGCAGAGGCTGTGCTTTTAATGAGGGTCAGAGGAACACGTGTGCTCAGAGGAGAAAGATATTTAAAACACACAGCTCAAGGTCTGGAGATGGTCCCATTGCTCCAGACCGGTTTAACCCAGAGACACTGAAGCATGGGACAAATGCAGATTTAACCCAGAGACGCAGAAGGATGGGTCTGGTCCCTGGCCTAGTTCTCTCCCTGGTCCCTGACATAGTCCCTGGTCTCTGGTTTAGACCCTTGTCCGGTCTTTGGTTACTGGTTTGTTGGTGACTGATAAGCAGTGATGGAGGGGCAGATGTCTGGTCCCTGGCTTAGTCCTGATCCTGGTCTCTGTTCTAGTCCCCGGTCTAGTCCATGGTCTAGTCTGTGGTCTAGTCCGTGGTCAGGTCCTGGTCCCTGATCTGTGGTTTCTGGTGCGTTGGTGACTGTGATGTGCAGTGACAGAGGAGCAGATTTCTGGTCCCTGGTTCTGTCCCTGGTCTCTGTTCTAATCCCTGGTCTAGTCCGTGGTCCAGTCCTGGTTCCTGATCTGTGGTTTCTGGTGCGTTGGTGACTGTGATGTGCAGTGACAGAGGGGCAGATGTCTCATT